CTCCATGACCAACCAGCCCTTTAGCACAGCCATGGGCTGCCACGGAACCCACCAAGGATTCAGGAACATCTCTGCTTTGTTCCCTCTCAGCAGAGCCAGTGCTTCTGCGGGATGTAGCTCAGTGTAATTTGAGGATTCAGGGAGGCAGTGTGGTAGGTGCAGCAACACCCAGCTCCAGGCTCCCGCTGGCCAGTGTGGATGGTGAGATAGCCCAGAGATGAAGATCTCGGTCGAAACTTCCTGGAGGACTGGAGGGCCTTCTGTGCTTCCTGACAAAAACTGAGTCATCAGGGGAAGGAGGAGGCCCCTTGGAGCCAGGTCTGCTCTTGCATATCCTTCAGAATTGTGCTTTTATGAAGAGAGGAATCCTCTGAGTAGCTCTGCTGTAGGAGCTCGGGCCTGGGCTTTTGGCAAATGGCCCCAGCTGGAAATTCTGTTCTTCCTCTTCATGGTGAGTTATTGGGAAATTTCTTAGAAATTTTTCTTTTTCTCTACTGCATCGGGCAAAGTACTGCTCATCCTTCCGTGAAGCTCCAAGGATTTCCTTGAAAAGCAGAGAGGTCTAGAGGGTGGTGAGGAGTTAGGAGATGTGACTGTTGGTGTTTGCTACTGGCCTTCTGTGGAATGTGGACGTGTTCTACTACAGTTGTAGGTCACTAGCTTGGCAGGGCAAGGAAGGATGGAATATTTGTGAAATGCACAGGGGGATTAACAACATGGCCCCTCGTTCATTAAGGGTTGTCCTGGTTTCTTCATTATACAGATGCAGAACCCAGGGCTCCAAGAGGTGATGTAACACATTCACTCTCAGACTCTGCATCTTCTGGAGTTTGATGATTGCTAGCAACAGAGACTCCTTTGCAAAGATCCAAGAAAAAGCTGAGTAGGGACAAGGATGTTGTCAGTGTGGAGTTTAGAGATAGGAGGAGCTCATAGACAAGCATACTGTGGATTATAGCAAGACATAGCAAGATTATAGCTTTAACTCACTACCCTACTCAATATTTACCCTCTGGGGAGAAAGACTTGATGGATTTGGCTGGGTTACTTGGTCATACTTTGGGCAAGGAGGGCATGCAGCATTGAAAGGTAGTCCTTTCCGTGGGCTGGGGTTGTGGCTCAGCGGCAGAGCATTTGCCTAACACGCGTAAGGCCCTTGGTTTGATTCTCTGTAAATGCACATGCACATGCATGTGTAGGCACAGGTGCACATGAATTGCAATAATCCTACCCATACTGAATGCAGTGGGAAAGGAGTAATCCCTAGAGAAGAAATGTGGTGCTGTTACCAAAAGTAGGGGTAAGACGTATATGCTACTAAGCTGGTAAATACAACAGTCTTTAGTCATGGTCGGCCAGTGACTTGGCTGCATTCAAACCAGGAGTGACCCTTGTGGCTACCACTGTGCCACACACTGGCCCTCCATTGCCAGGATCCCCAAGCTCTCTGTCCAGACCTGCAGCTTCCCCTTTAGAGGGCCCCATGATGCCGGAGCTGCTTGGGAAGGGCTCATACCCTGCTGGAGAGGAAATCTCTGAGGAGGGCAGAGGAAGGGGAAGTGAAAGAGATAGAGTCAATTTAAGAGCAAGCGAGTACCATGGAGAAGTGGGGAGAAGCTGCGGCTTTTTCAACGTGGGAAAATGACCGATTACTAGGGAGTTTTTTGGGGGGGGAGGGGAAGAGATAGAGACCAAACATAGGGAGGAATTAGAGACGCAGGACCCTTGAAATGATCTTAACCAACCAACAGTCTAAAAACTGAGTGGTTAAGGATATAGCTTGTCTAGTATACAAAAGGCTCTGGGAAAAATTGAAAAATAAAGGAAACCGTCAGGGTAGACTTTAGTGCTTTAAAGTACTTGCGATGTCTTAGATTATAAAACATTTAATCAAGGAAAGGTTAAACTTTGCAATTATGAGTTAAGGAAATGTAAAATGGGGGTACTATATAACTCAAAACCTGCATTTGAGAAGTTTTAAATTTAGCTGAGAGTTTCCTGGCAGCTAAGGCAAAAAGGCAGACATGATAGGTTATAGAATTTTCACTGTCTTGTAAAAGGAAGTGAATCTGTAAGTCCAAAAACACAATTTTTCTCCTGTTATTAAAAAAGGAAAAAGAAGGGGCTGGGGATTTAGCTCAGCGGCATAAGCGCCTGCCTTGCAAGCAGGCAGTCATGAGTTCGATCCCCCGTACTGATGAAAAGGAAAAAGATTAAAAAAAAAAAAAAAAGGAAAAAGAAAAGACAATTCTGTGACACATTAGCCAGTAGAAAGACTTTCCTCTCTAATTCTACTGAGCACGAGAAACCTTATTTCTAAGGCCATTATCACATGAACTGTGGTGGAAAGGAAGGTGCCTCCCATCAAGTGCCCTCTCAGGGTCTGAAAAGCTCCCAAGGGCTGCAGGTGAAAGGCCTCTCCCGGGCTTTGCCTCTGCACACTCTTGTCATGCAGAGTGAGGCATCTCCAGAGCCTATCTCCTTCCTTAACTCCCTGCAGATGGGCTTCCAGCCGGGTTCGCACAGTGCGGGGTGCTGGAGCCAGAGGCGCTGGGCATTTCCCTCTGTTCCTACTGCCTTGGCAGTGGCTCAGGCAGGGTATCAGTTCCTCTGTGGCCCTGGATCTTTTGGTTAGACCTCTGTGGGTTTCTGGCTCACTCTGGTAGCCCCAACTCTTTCCTGTGTCTTTCCAGTCGAGGGTGCTGGTGGCTTCTGCATGGCCCATCGCTAGGTTGACTTGGTGACCTGTTTGCCCTTCTGCACTCCGACTCCCGAAAATCCATAGTTGCCTATACTTTCAAACTTGGTACTATCAAGCATAACAGAATAGAGGAAAATCAGTCAAAACAAGATGGTGAGAGCAATACAGAGTTTCAAATCAAGTTAATAGGAAACCAAAGTGGGTTACTATAATATATCCTGCTATTTTTTAATTTATTTTTCCCTTAATTAAAAGGATAAAAATGAAAAAGTAGATAATAAAAAGGAGATTGAGATAAAAAAGAGGGCATAACAACAAAACAGCACAGGTCAAAACATAGCCATTTAAGCAAAATAGTATTTCACCACAAGATAATCTCGACATAATAGTAGTTACCATAGTGTCTCTTCCTTTAAAATCTTTGGGTATAACTTCGTATACTAAAAGATATAACTGCATATATATTTAAGTGTATAAGATAGATAACCATATTACTGAGTTTTGTTGGATCACTGAACAAAACTGTTTGCAGTCTCACTGTTTGAAAGTCCCCTCTATATGCTTTAATTTTGTAACTTCAACAACTATTTCTAAGATGACAATATGTAATTAACTAGTGATGTCCTACTGTTTATTTTTTCTGAAATTCTGTATAACTTGTACCCTTTTTCTGTTTTTTTTTTTTTTTCTTTTTTCTCCTTAAATAAAATTAAAAAAAAAAAAAAAAAAAAAAAAAGAAAGAAAGAAAATCCAATTCCTGTGGTCCAGTCTCTGGGTCTTCAGTACCCAGTGGCTTGGGTCACCTGGGTGGACTCTCCCCATTACTCTCCCTGACTGGTCAGCCTTGCCCCACGGTACGCCAAGATTGGCACCTTCTCTTCCCAATCACAGCAGCCCTCTTTGTCTCGAAGGCAGGGCCACCTGAAGGGAACACTTCTGCAGGTGTGCCCGGACAGAACCTGGATCAAAGATGGAGGAGGCAGAGGCTTGTCATTTGTCACCACTGCAGCAGACTCACTGAATCAAGGACTAGTTAGAAGCACGGCTGCGTTTACTCAGTGGCTATGTTTTTAGTACTGACCATGGTCTCACATCATGGGGGACCGAGCACAGAAGCGACTGCGGCCAAGGCCTCCAGGAACATGGGATGGTTCTATCGACCACCCTGGGCGTTCTGGAACAGATCCGCCGTTTCTCCTGAGTGCTGCTCCCCCCTAAATTCCTGAATAAACAATGGATTATTTTGTCCGCTGAAGTTTCTGTTTGCAAACGCAGTCATTCATCTCAAAGCTGTTCTGCTGAACATGGAGGGCGCAGGAAACAGGCCCTGTGCTGGGGGCGGAGGGAGCCCCCACTTGCAGGCAAGAGGAAGGCGCGGGTGACTCACCAGGATGCGTGAACGTTCTCGGGGAAGGTGAAGGCCTATTTGAATCCATTGCTATTTCTTTGCAAACTTGCAAAGGGGAAGAAAAAGGGCAGATCCAGGCTTCACAGGGCAGGAAACAGTGCTGGCTTCCCGGGCAATGACTTGCACTCCCCTGGGCTTGGCATTTCATTGTTGCATCTTGAAATTCTTAATTTTTTTTTTTTACAATAGGCCCCCAATTTTTATTTTGTGCTTAGTGGCTCAGAGTGTGAATGAAACATGTATCATTTGGGAATCCTATGTTATAAAAAAAAAACACAAAACCATAGGAACAAAGTTAGATATGGAGCTTTAGAAGTGGTACCTAGGAAAATAAAGTGCCCAGCAGAAACTAGGCCTCACTGACCTCCATAGTGGTCTTCAAACTGGCCTGGGGAGTCCCAGGGGTGGAGTGGATGGGAGTTTATCTAGGGGACCCGTCTCTGCTCCCCCTCACCTCTGATCCTTGCTTCACAAGCATAGCTCCACTTTGTCCTGAATTAGGAACTGAGCTTAAAGCTTCTTTTTAAAAAGGGTCCCATGACTCACAGTTTGAAAACCACTAGTTAGACAAACCACACCACACCAGGCTTTTTGTTGTAGGGAATTGTCTTATTTCAGAGGGCCCCAGGTGACCTGCTGACCTAGGGTGTCTCCAAAGCCAGGTAATAATAGGCCGTGCTCTAATCTAAGGAGACTCCACTGTATTTGCAGAGAGCTTTGAAATGTTCTGGGAAAAAAGCTGATCAGATGTGCCAGGTATTATATTCACAGAGAGCAAAACCCTCCCAACTCTTTATAAAATGGATTAAGCCAGTTTCTAAGGGCTGCAGGTCTGTGTGATCTTAATCCCACTCCTTACTCCTGATTCACCACCTTCCTCTTTGTTTCTAGGATGTGCACCTTCTCGCGGGACCCCCCTTCTCCCTTGGGAAGAACTAAGGGGCACCTTCACCCTCGAGCCAACCTCACCAGTGCTTCCATTTTTCTGCGGACACATTTCACATTCATAGGCTCTGATCCGATGGAGGGAAATTGGAACAAAATATGGTAATTATGCCATTGTGCATTCAGAGACTCAGACTGGAGCGGCAGATGGGAAAAGTTGTGGATCACAACCCCGTGCGATATTTGACAGAGTATCAGTCAAATATAGCTCATCCAGATCCGTGTTCCTGTCAGCCCCTCTTCGCTAAAGTTAATTTAAAGTGACAGGAGCAACCTCAGTTCTTTGCAAAAGGGTAACGTTACCTTTGTGCTGCCCCTCCAGTGGTCACCCAGACAGAGACCTCCAGGTCATGGATTTTGAAGGATCGGAGAGACCTCAGGTAAGCAAGTTGCTCCGGAGGGTCTCTGGGTTCACTCTCCTGTGGAGGGAGAGGTGTCCATGGGCACCTGCTCCCAAAAGAACCAACCATCCAGCATGGTGTAGGCACAGAGGATGTCACCCAACATTGTTTTTCTTCACATGAGAAGATATCATAGAAGGTTCCCCAGCAGGTAGAGGCCCCGAGCCAGCCCTGCTACCATGTGTAGCTTTACCTGGGTTGTTTCCCGTTTGATCTCTCTTGGTTCTTTCTATCTCACTACACCATGTATAGACTCACAGAAAACCACAACCTTTGGGACTGGTCCATTCCACCAGCACTCGTGGCTTCTGAGCTTGCTCCACAGGGATGTTATTGATGGGAGAGAGGATTACGGCGCAAGAGTTCAACTCCATCCCTTATCACACCAGCTTGCCTGCCCTTGCAGGCATGTGGGAAGCTAGCTTTGTTCATCTGCCTTTATGGGGGAGGGTAGACACACCGGAAAACCTGACCTATCAACCATTAAAGATAAGCTCTGTCTTTTCAGGGGCTAATAAACCTTTAGCCACTGAAACTCATTTCATTGGCCACCTTCTTCCAGAAGCCTCCATACACATCGCTGAAACTGTCATTCTCTTACGCTCAGGCCAGTCTCTGGAGTCTCTGTACCCTTCTGTTTTTGTACCTACTGCATGGGCATTGTAACCTTTTTTTTTTTTTTTTTTTTTGCTTCTTGAATTTCTCTTTCTAGCTGTGATTACCAAGCTTTAACAAAATTAAACTGAATATCTGAACTGCTTATTGAATAAACAGCTCAGGTGACCTTACCTATAGATTATAGGTGATAGATCATCTATGGATTTTAGGTGATTTCCTATAACTGTCATGATCTTTTCCTCCAGTGGATAGTACCAAGGATGGACACATCTCTTGCTTCTCCTTTGTCTCTTATGAGATTCCCCGTACACTGGAAGTCTGCTTTGAGAGCCCCTCTTTCCAGGATCTGGCCAGGACCATTTGTATGAACACCTTCTGCTTTCACTCGGACTTCTGGAGCTCAGTGACTGTTCCTGACTTTCCTTTTTACTGATTAACTGGCATCCTTGAGACACAACAAAGAGAAGAACGAAATGATGGTCTTCAAAAAGAAAATGGTTCACATCTCCGCCTTTTTCTCCCCAGGAAATTCCTGAATTCTTGTGCAAATTCACCTCAGCTATAGCTCTGTGTGCCAAGAGAAATGGAGAGAGGAAACCTTTGAGGGGCCATACAATGACCGGTTTCCTCACAGGACAGCCAGTACCTCCTTGACTTGTGTGTGCCCCTCAAGTGACGCTTTCCTGAATGGTAAGTCCTGCCCCAAGAGGGCTCACTGCATCTATCTGCAGTCATCCAGACAGCTGGGAAACTCTGAACTCCTCCAGATGTTCATCTAAGATGACTGAGTGTGGGCTCTGACTTCACGGAGCTGCCACTTCCCGCGGGAGCAATGTGACCAGATGGAGGCACCCATTCTTCCTGGTTGTTGCTGCCACTGGTTTGGCATTGTCGAGGTCTTCTGCTTCTGGGAACAGACCAAGTATGGAGAGATTGCTCGGCCTGCATGGTTTCTGGATGAATAGCTGTGTCATAATGGCAACCACAACATTAGGGCTCCTCCAGGAACTGACAGCAGAAGATGGCTCTGTGTGTCCAGGGATTGACCCAACAGTCCTTGCTCAACCCTTCAGGGTTCCAGCTCCAAGGAGAAAGGAGGAGGAAGGAGGAGACGGGAGATCAATGGCAGCCTTGTCTTGGGCTCACAAATGGCTAATTAATTAATTACACTACAAAAGAACTGGTTGAGCAGGTGCTCCCAGTACTGTTAAGAAACTACTAAAAGCTGACAGGGGAGGGATGGCAGGGCAGGGCCAAGAGGTCAAGAAGAATCTGCAGGGAGAGAAAGTCAAGCCCTGTCTTCTCAGGTTGAGGATGTGTAGATACAGATTGTTTCAGTAACCTATTGTATATAACTACCCCCAAACCATGGTCATCCACAGCAGCTTGTTTTTCTTACGACTCAGCCTGCTGGCCTGGGCTCAGCTGGAGTTTCTTCTATGCTCCCTGCCATCCGTGGGCACATCAAGATGACTCTATTTCTTAGCTGGGAGATGTGTGTGTACAGCAGCCAGGCTTCGAGTCCAGTGCCCAGAAGATTCTAGGGAAGTGTTCAACGGCAGAGTGAGTGGCTGAGCACCCACAGAAGCCTGTGATCTGTGGGCAGCTGCAGCTCACCTGGCAGGTGGCGGGTGCTATGCTGGTGGGAGGCCCCTCAGCAGAAGTAGGGAAGAATGTTCCCTGACAATATCGCAGTGAGCTCTGGGACCCACAGAAGCACACTCTGGGGCTTTGTAGATGCAGGCCCCGGGACAGGGAAAGGGACCCATTGTCCACATCGTCTTGCATACCAGAGGGAGATATTCCTCATTCCTGACTGGAAAAAAGGAACTTGGTTCCCATTCTTGCTTGTTGGACTTTTGAAAGGGTGGGAGAGAGGCCACAGAGAAGAGAACTGGGAAAGTGGGGTGTTAAAGAGGAACTTTGGACTGGGAAGCCAAATCCTAGGAAATCCAGTGTGCTTCCAGCACCTGAGGCTGCATGGGAGAAGGGTACTGTGTGGCCAGGGATGCTGTTAGCTCTCTGGAGCATCAGGAGGGATGGAGGCTGCTCCAGCTACTGAGAGGGATTCCACACAATGGTGAAAAATCTGCCAAGGGAGAACAGACCCCTTGGCTGCAGGACACTGTGAAGTAGGAGGAGCAGAGGCCATTTAAGGCAGGTAAATTGCTATCAACCATCCCTCCTAATTCGGTGGCTCCCATCAGCAGCAGGCTCCTCCCCTGTAATGGCAGTCATGCTAGTTTCCTACTGGTCCAGTAACAGATCACCATAGACTTAGTGGCTTAGTACGGACGCACAAGTCTAGATCATAGATCCACAGCTACATTTGTTCTGCAGGCTTCAGGGAAGCATTGGCTTCCCTACCTTTCTGGGTTGCAGATGCTGCCTGCTTCCCTGACTTGTGGCCCCTCCTCGTGTCACTCTAACCTCTCCCTTCTATAATTGCATCCCCTGTCTCTGACTCTACCCCTTTTCTAAGGACCCTTGTGATTACATGGGGCTCGCCTCGATAATCCAGGATAACCTGCCCGCTTCAAGATCTTTTACTTAATCATACCTGTCGACTCCCTCTTGCCGGAGGGTAACATATTCACTGGTTTCAGGGATTTGGATGTAGAGCGGGGCACCCCAGAGAAATTGGTGTCAGCCTGAGACCTTGGACACTGCTTCTCTCTGGAACTCTCTGCCTGTCAGATGAAACAGCAGGACAATACTGCACAGTTTTGTCAGTTCTGGGAGGCGCAGAACCTAGCCTTCTTGAACATTTGTATTGTGCAAATCTGAGGGTATGTTTCTGGTTTTCAAGTATAAAATTATAAGGCCTAGGCTGCATACCTTGTGTGACATCAGATATTGCCCTACCTCTCAATCATGAGGGCCCTGCTGGGGAAGCCGCGTGTGCAGAGGAAATCCTAGCGGACACCAAGGTTCTGGTACTGGACTCAAGCCTCAGCGCCTAGGGGAAGACCCTGAAGGAAAGTCTCCTGCCAGTCAAGGAAATTTCCATCAGGCCAGGCTCTGCCTGGAAATTTCTCCTCCAGAGAGGATACCAGGATCCACTTCTGTCTTCCAGGAATGGCTCCAACCGGGATCCTTGGCCCATCCTGTGGGACCTTGCCTGGACTCTTCTCCGACCCAGCCCTCAACAGCCTGAGACCAAGCTCCATGTCCCAGTAGCTCCCAGGGAGGCGGCACTGAGGCACATGGTGATTCTGGAAGCTCTGCTCCAGACCCAGGCGTCAGTGAAGTCCCCGAGGGCTCTCCTCGGTGGGGAACTCTAGAGTAAGAGAAGAGGTGAGATAGGTGGATGTGCCGGTCACAAACTCTATCCTTTCCTGTCACCTGTGTCTAAATTGCACCAGCCAAGGGAGAAAGCATGATATTCAGGCTTCTGCTGACTGGCAGGCGACTGCACAGGCTTCATCAGGGCCTGGCCAGGTCCTCAGCAGAGTCAGGAGGGGAAATCGGCAGTGCTTCAGGCCAGTCTTGGTGTCGCCAGTGTGGGCTTCCACAGGCCTGTGGGCAAGGTCCCATCCACTTCCTCCTGTGGCCAGCCCCTTGGCCCCAGAGCGTCCCACAGAGCAACCATGGAAGGGTGGACGCTGCCCTCCCTGCATTTAAACACCCTCCAGGGCTCTCGTGAATGTGTTCCTTTCCCCTTGGGTAAGGAATAATGAAAGCAAAGCTGTCACTTTCCTGAGTGGACATATTTTATGCTGACTCAGAGTTTCTAGAGCTAGTATTAATAGGAACCAAGTGACACTTAGGAAGAGGAAGAGAAAGGTTTGGATTTCCTCAGATGGAACTCCAAAGTACATTTTGAGCAGAAAAACCTATTTGAATGGTTCCTCCTGCCGAGAAAAAAAAGCAGTAATAAAAACTAAAGTCATTGCAAAGTCATTAAAAGCAGCTCGAAGCAGCGTGTTCCCGTTTCTGACAATGTGCTGCACAGCCAGGGCGAGGGGCAAGTGTGAATATCTCTTACTCCTGAGACTTCACGTTCCAAACTTTCTGTGGGTCAGTGTATTTCTCAGTTGTAAAGTCAAAAGCATAAGAGCTTTGGAAAACAGGAGATTTACCGCCTGGCTTCATTATTGTCTTCTGCGTCTCTTACAGCGTCTCTAGTAACAAGAACCAGGTTTCCAGTTTGATGTTCAAGCCCAGTTTGGAAATAAGGATGGAGACTTTGCAACTCAGCACCTTGCAAAACGCAGGATGGATGGGAGAAAGGAGGAGAGGAGGTAGGGAGAGAGAGGAATGGCCAGTCTTTCCAGAGGAGGGCGGAGCAGCAGCAGCAGGAATGTTATATCTGGAATGTTCTCTCTCTCCCTTCCTCTGTCTCTCTCTCCCTCCTCCCTTCCCTCCCTCCCTACATCTCTCCCTCCTTCCTTTTCTTGTTTCCTTCTTCTCTCTCCCTTCCTCTCATGGTGCTAGGGACTGAACTCAGCAATTTACCGTGCCACATCCCAAGCTCAAGGACTTTTCTTTATCCAGACATTCTCAAGATTTTGTTTATTCATATACGCTCCTTGACCTGTAATGGTGTTGCATCAGATAAGCCTGTTTGTAAGTTGAAGCTATAAGTTGAAAATCATTTAGCACACCCAATCTTCCAAACAGCCCAGCTCTTAGCAACCCCATAATGCTGGAGACTACCAGTTGCTTATCCTGAGGTCACCTGGCTGACAGGTTGGGTGTCACTGCCCAGCACTATATTACACTGTGTATTTTTGTTTTTTATTTTTTTCCTTTGAGACAAGGTCTTGCTATGTTGCCCAGGCTGGTCTTGAACTCCTGGGCTCAGGATTGGCCGAGGAGCTGGGACTACAGGAATGTGTCACTGTGCCCAGCTTCTGTACTGCACATTTCTATCCCAGGATAAGATCAACCCTGCAAATTTGAACCTCAGTTTCTACTGAATGGAAATCATTCCACTCCATCATCAAGTCACAAAGCTGTAAACTGAACCACCTCCAAGTCAGGATTGTCTCCAGTTACGTACATTTCCAGAAGCAGAATCCACCCTCCTTTTCCCCAAGCGCTGCTGTAAGCCAGAGCACAATCTCTAACAGGTAAGTGCTGCTGCTCTGAAGCCCATGCCTTGGCATCCTGCTGACCTTCCTCCTCCCGTATGCCCTGGTGCAGCTCAGTAGGCAGCTTTCAAGCCACACATCTACCCCAACTCCTCAATATGCCAGCGAGGAAACTGAAGTCTTGAAAGGGAAGCAATCACTGGAGAAGGTGGAGAAGGCTTCTCCATGTCATGGGCCATGGTCTGGTGGAGATGGGCCTGAAGCGTAGGTGTGAAGTGAGGTGGGAGGCAGGGGGCATGGGTGCTTGTGTGACAGTGCCCAGGAGATGACCTTGAGGCAGGTGACTGTGGGTTTGTAAACAGCATGGTTCCAGGGATTGGGTCCCCACAGTTTCCCCTATATCCCTTTTCTGTTTCTCACCAGCTGCTACAATTCTAGGGTTGCTCTTGAGACTGAGGCTTATGGGGACAACACCACAAAAGGTGGTTACAACTTACACATTTCCCTCAAGGGCAAAGGCACCAAATGCAAGTAGCACCCACTTTAGAAAGCCTTCCAGTTCAATCATCATCTCGCACTGGTAGCAGGACTACGGCAGAACCTGGGTGTGCAGGGAGGTAATGATGAGGGGAGTGACCGGATGTGAGTTCTGCAGCCTCCCCAGGGCTGGGAGGCAGGGTAGGAAGGTCTGCTGATAGCACAAGAATTTGAAAACCAACACTCAACCCAATTCTAACCCTACCACGGAAGCCTTATCACTTATTCATCTGGTAATAAGCCATTCACCTTAAATCTTCGTTTCTGTATCGTTTCTGTTGGCAAAGATGTCATGGAATTAAAATCAACTGTGTTACTCTATTTCTGCAACCTTGCCTTGTTTCCATGGCCCACCTAGTTTGGGCTGCATCAGACCAGATTCTTGGTTGCAAGCCTTGGATTGAAAGAGATTGTGTTTGTTGAAAGACTATTGGGGAGTGACAGCGTTGCCAGGAAGGCAGAACTACCCATGCAAACTGTCCTCTGCACAGTGGGTACCACTAAGACAGTGCCCAGCTGCTGCATGCTGCCTCAGAAAGTGTCTGGGGCTGCCAGGGGCACTGCCAGAGTGAATTCATCATCACTTTCCTCTGTCATGAGATCCATTTTCTGCTTGGAGCTTCTGGAGAAGCCAACTGCCCATTTCCTTGGTCCCTGGCAGCTAAGGGTTCTCTAGAGCTGGGGCTGGGCAGCCACATGGCAATGCCCATTGCAGACACCATCTCAGAGGGGTAGACCTCTCTTCTCTGTCAGGTGTCTCTTCCTTTTCTCCAAACACCTGAGAGTCACCTTCAGGGAGTCTCTCTGGATTTAAGTCTTTCCTACTCTGAGCAGGTAGGTTATCTTTGCGTTGCTTTCTGTTTAGTACGGATAAACAGCAGCCCCATTCTTCTCCAGTGCAGCCCTGTCCTGTGCAACAGTATGCTCACATTTTTGTGAACCGTACCTTCTGGTAGAGTGTCACCCACACTTTGAGCCCTTGAGGAAGTGACCCGTGCTTCTACATAAGTGGGAAGCATGATTCTCCTCCTGAACTACTTTCTGAGCATTTGACAACTCAGTCTGGCATAGGCTGTGGCAGTTACACATTCCTGTTGTTACCACCACTGCTGCAGGGTCTAAGACACATTTCCTAGATGCCAGGCATTGTGCTAAGGCTCTAACCCAACGTAGCTCATTTAATTTCTCCACTTAACGAATACACAACTGTTGCCCAAAGCCACACAGCCAGGAGAACTTGGGATCTGAATACCAGGCAACCCCACTTTCATTCCACTCCATGAAACCCAGTCCTCCATACCTCCCGTAAGGAAACAGAAAGCTGTCTCTGGCTGCCTTTCCCCCAGGGATCCAGATACTCTGAGAAGCAGCCGATTGTGAGGGCCCCCGTGCCTGACTGACCACTCAGGGGATGGGCCCTGGGCAAGCAGACAGGGACACAACAGCCCAGGGCCACTCAGTGGGCAGCAGGGGAGGGACGCAGCTCCAAGGATGGGTTAAGGGCTGGGAGGCAGTGGGAGCTGTTCACACCCTGGCACTGTGGAAGTAAATAAGGACCGACCAGTGAACACAGCGAAATCTGTCCTGAGCTCGCTACAACGAAGGAGCCACCCATCACCACTGATGAATGGGGCAGGCGAAGGAGGGGGAACATCAGAGTGAGAAAAGGAGCTTCAGTGACCACAGCTAGAGGCTGTTGCCCCAGGAAGCTGACTGGAACTGGGCACCCCTGGGGTTGGCTGGAACTGGGCACCCCTGGGGTTGGATATGCTCCCCATATTTGGCTTTCCCTGGTTATCCTAATTTGGAAGTAATGGCAAAACATAGAGAAGCTGCTGGTTACTAATGGAGGGTTGGCTATCTTGAGCCAGTTGTTACAGAAGCCATTGGTTAGCCTTCTGGTCTGTCACTGGAGATGGCATGCTGGCCTCCCTCGGTGTGACAGCAGATCAGCTCCCGGGGATTGTTGTAGATAAAGAGTTGATGCAACTGTTCTGGGGCTACGTTCTGTCTTCATACGTGACCCTGTTTTCTTTCTTTTTTTTTTTTTTTTTTTTTTGTCTTTTTCCTTTTTATCGGTACTGGGGATCAAACTCATGACTGCCTGCTTGCAAGGCAGGCGCTTATGCCGCTGAGCTAAATCCCCAGCCCCCGTGACCTGGTTTTCATCTTGGTGTATTTCTGTCTCTCAGCACTCAGGCTCCACAGCAGCCCATGCTACAGACGAGGCAAGTGAGATTTATAGAAGTCAGTGACGTAGCTCAAGTCCTTCGGCCTGGTGTGTGAGCCAGGCTGGCCTCACCCCTCCCATGTGGCCTCTCACATCTATTCCCTGTTCTTCCCCCTTTTCTGACTCCCTTCCCACCAAACACCATCATAATATGGTCCCTTCCTCTGATGTAGCCTGCCATGGCATGACAGTTTTCCTGAGCAGGAAATATTCCTGTGCCTGCCCACCGGCTGCTGAGCTCTGGCCTCAGAGTTCCCCTCTGGGATGAGGGGTCCTGGGGGTCATCCAAGAGCCCATCTGTGTTTTTTGGATTTGTCCCCTTCTCACCAATCCCAGCCCTAGCTGGTGACTCTGGCAGACCTAGGTTAGAGGGTGTCACCCCTACTTTAACCTTCCAGACAGCTTCCAGACCATGCTTCTCTTGCTCTGAGCCTTTACCCTGTCTCCCCTCAGCCTAGAACTCCTTTCCTGGCTCCTGGGCATCCTTGGGGACTCAGCAACGGTGTCATCCCCTCCCGATTTGCAGAGGCCTCCGCAGGCCAGGATTCCCCACCCACCCATCACCTCCACAGCATTTTCCTAGTTGGAAACTGGGGCTCCATCTGTAGATTGTCCAACCAGACTGCCAGCTCCCGAGGATGGGACCATTTCCCAATGCAGACATGTTCCTGTGGTCCTCACCATGCTATTCAGTAAGTCCCTGGCAGTGAATGAGTGGCTGGGGACCTCTTCCTCCAGTGGCTGCTTTTCCTGCTCCAAGATGAATGTCCAGCTTCCTGCCCAATCTGAGCAAGGGACAAGGTGACAGGCAGAGCTAGCAAGGCAGGCAGTGGGAGCTTTTCTCACTCTGACACTGTGGCTTCCTCCTTGGGGTGAGCTGCACCGTGACTCAGCAAATAGCTCTCAGCTGAGAATGTGGGGCGCTCCCAGGAGCAGGCAGCCTGAGGTAACTGAAGGTCAGATGCCTGCCTTCCTGGACCTCAGCAAATGCTGGCGGGGATCCTTAAAGTTGGCATCCCTGGGTCCACATGTACTGACCAGAAGTGAGGCTCGGGGCCCTGTGGCCTGTCCGAAGCCCTCAGCTAGTGAGGAACCCATGGTTCTTGCAGGCACAGTGAGTGCCTGGGATGGAGGCCTGGTCTCCTCTGCCCCTCCTGCCCCTCAGCCTCCTGTGCCTTCATCTTGCACCTGAAGTCCCACGTGACCCGACGCCACCTGATACCCAAGGGGAGCAGCAGTGAGGAATGGTCGCTGGCCACCGTCCTTCGCCCTGTTACTGCAAGGGGAAGGGATTTCCAGGTGGTTTCAGCATAATACTGGGGACACTAAATCCAATTTAGTCAAGGAGGGAAGTCGACACAGGGTCACTGTCAATTGCAATCTTCGCAACCTGTATACATCACACCACGCTGCTGCTTATAACACTGCTTGTTTCTCAGTAGCTCACATTGCTTCCAGGAGGGGGGCACATCTCAGTGTTTGCTGGGCTTGTATGCGCAGCAGGCTCTGCCTCCAGCCCCTTGAGATTCCTTGGTGGCTCCCAGGAGGACTCCAGACATGTCCCAAGGCATTTTTGGGGGTCACCTCCTCCACCCCAGCCTAATTTGAGAGCAAAAGGGAGGGCAAGGAGCCGTTCCGTTCTTGCGATTTTGGTCCCCAGACTTCTTGGGAACTTTCCTGCCCAAGCCACAGCCAATCCAGTCCTCTAAGGGTAGCTACAGAAATCTGAGCAGGGGGAGACTCCCCAATATGTCCAGGACTCAAGGGTGTGCCTGAGGCCTTGTCCAGGTGGGGCAGGAAAAAGGGCCTGGTTCTTTTTTTTTTTTTTTTTTTGTCTTTTTCGTTTTTATCGGTACCAGGGATCGAACTCTCGACTGCCTGCTTGCAAGGCAGGCGCTTATGCCGCTGAGCTAAACCCCCAGCCCCAAGGGCCTGGTTCTTTAGCGCTCCATGACATGGGTATTCTGGCCTTGTCTCCTGTCTGCAAATGGGGGAATTCCCACTGCTCTGCTTTGAGTGTAGTGGGATGATGTGGGTCACATCCTTGGCTTGGGCCAAATAGGACCCAGTCCCATGCCTTGTCACTTAGTGTGCCCTCCCGGCCCCTCTCCAGGACCCCCCTCAGTTTGTTTCATCTCATAATGATTCTGAAGCAAATTAAATTCAGATGGCAGATCTGCCCCTACTGCTTCAAAGACAAAAGCCAAATGCTCCAAATCCCTACACAGTCGCCATGTATGGCTTCAGGATTGTCTGTGGCTGAGAATGAGCTACAGGTCTCTAGGGACAGAGCTAAGCCCGTACTGCCCACCCTGTGTCCCTGCACTCAGCAACAGCTCCAAGGAAGTCGTTTGGCCAATAAGCAGGTCAAGACCTTCCATTCTGCAGATCAGCAAGCTGAGGCTGGAGGGAAGAGCAACTTGCTCTCTGTCACATGGCTGGCATACAGCCAGGAGCGGAGCTAGATTCCTGAGGCTCAGGGCAGCTCTGACTCTCATGGGAGGACAGCCCACTCAACACTGCCTGGACAGCAAACAGGCTGAGCATTGGAAGGGATTGTGGCCTTCGGGCCACTCCTCATGCTGGGAAATGGTGGGTATGTTGGTAACATTGTAGGTGCTCACATCTATACCCTCTCTCTCCCCCTCCCAGACTCTCTAGTGCCTCCTCTCCTGCAGCAACTTGGAGACAGCAAGGACTGATAGGTTGAAGTGCAGCCCCTCCTTAAACTTGGGGGACAGAGCCAGCATGACGGGGTCCCCGAGTCAGCCTGAGGCCTCAGGTTCCCACACCGTCTCTGAGCTCCCATCTGTGCAGAGTCAACTGCATTTCATTTTGCAGCTGAAATTCGACTCCCGCTTTCTGTCAAACCAGAAAAGAGACAGATCTAAGTCACACTACTGTGGACCGATTACAATCTGCAGGCTGCCTCAGTTGGCGCTGATGCCATCCAACTGAGATGCCACATGCGGCCACAACAGAGAGCTGTGGGGAGTCTGCTGAGGGGGCAGGGAGGAGGAGGACTGAGTTCTGTTATGATCTTGGGGAGAGGGCACGTGAGGCATGGGACCAAGACCAGGAGTCAGGAGAC